AAACTATACTGTAAGAAGAATAGTATCTCCAGAGGGAGGTCTCAGTGCATTCATTCTTTTCCAATCATTTCTTATTCATTCATAAGTGAGCAGTGAGAATATACACTGAGTGGCCAGATTATTATAACCACCCCATCAGTACTTCGTTGGGCCGCCTCGTGACTCCACGAGATGTTGAAAGGTGATGCGAGGAATCTGACACTGCACTGTTGCCCTTCTGTTGCCGTGTACCAGTCTTGCCACTCTCCGTTCTGCCCTAACATTGACTAGTCGCTGACGGCCACAATTCGCACGTTCAGACCCAGATTTTCGGCTGACAGTCCAGTCTTTAAACACTTTAACAATGCGCCCCTCTTGAACATTTAACAAATTCTGCTGTTTTGCTGATACTCGCTCCATGGCTCCGAGCGCCAACAATCATCCCACGTTCAAAGGCTGTTAAATCGCTGTTTACCCATATCTTCAGAAAATATCACTTCTACTGTCGTGGTAAACAACCTGCTTCCCTATTTATAATGGTCTGGCCCTCTAGCCACTTCAGCGCGAAATTATAGCTAATTTGCCTACAAACGTCAGGTGGTCATAATAATCTGGCCACTCAGTGTATATGTCATTTCTAGAACGGGCTAGGCTGCATATTGGCACGTAGGGCCAGTAAGACTATAACAGAGCTTGCAGCGTGCTCAGTACCGGCTGTGTGATTAATAGAAGTCTGAGGTATGCTGCTATTAAACTGTCTTACATAATCTGCCTTCATTGAACAATCCAGATCAGCGTCAGCAATCCAGAAGTTCCATTCCAGGCATGTTTTACATTGAGTGCTGGCTGCAGTGTCTTTTGTGTAACATATGCAGATGGTATAAGAGCATGTTGAAGTTCTGTTCAGCTTTGATGTTACATGATATAATAGATTGTTATATGTAAGGAATTATCATTATATTTAGAGATATGTGTTACACTGCTTCATGGATGCCGACTATTACATTATTTATACAACTCTCAGCACCTATCAGTCACCGAGCTCACACTGTAACACAATCATGGAGAGGAGAAGGGAAAGCTGCATGAAGACTGTGCCACCTATGGAGAAAAATGACTGGGCTTCATGCAGCTTGTTCAGTCTGTCAATGTACTTTAGCAAAATGAAATACATGCTAGGTGGAAGTTGTGTGTGTGTGTTCAGGACTCCTATATATTGTTGGTGCTACATATATATTTGGCAGCATGGCGCCTCTGTTCTGTGCTTGAGATTGCGCACACACTCAGCGCTCCCAGCACAGTGACCGCCAGCGTCTGGTCACTATTTACGATCAGGAACCGGTGTGACAGGCAGCCAATCATGTGACCACTTAGAACCCATAAGGCCTGATTCACACCGAGGCGGCACCGCTTTTGAACTTTTGTACGCTGGTTAGCAGCATGCAGTTATTTACGCGTGCACATTTTGATGCGTGTTTTGACTGACAGCTCATAAAACATTGCGGGCAATGGAAGAACGCACATTTAAACGTGTAGAAACGCTCACATAAATGTACGATATGCTTCTGCCGCGCATTTTTGGGCATTTCCAATGAAGTCTATGAGGCAAAAAAACGCTTTTAACTGCCCAAAGAAGCTCATGTACATTTTTGGGAGTTTGGCTTTTTCCTGCTGGCATTTTTTTTTCTGCTCAGGTGTGAATCAGGGCCATTGAAAATCATGGAATTTCTTGTGTTGGACATTTAAAGAGCCTTTCGAACTGCTCAAAAACTCCTAGGTGTGATCCAGGCCTGAAGGGCCAGTGGGAGCTGGCAGCAAGGGATTCAAACAGTATTATCTAACAGAAAAAGACTGGAGATTGTTCTACACAGTGCTGAATGTAATCCAGTTACGGTTCATATTTGTACCCTAAAAATGGAGCTGATTGTAGTTCAATAGTGGGTGGCTGTGTTTATTAAATGACATAATGTAGCTGCTCAGTGTCGGTTCCCGTCATAAACATGTTGCGTGCACACACATATAATAGAGAAGACTTACAATTACAATGTCTATCTGTGGGAATAAGTGATGGAAGGATTCTTGTGGTTCACTTGGGTGTCTTCACATTTTTCTAATGCTGCTGGAACTGTTTCAAACCTCTGTCTGAAAACCACATTCACATAGAGCTTTTGTCTTTTTGTGATTGAAACAATTATAATAATCCAGAAAGAAAACTCACTGTAAAGTGGACATGTCACGTGTGAGCAATAACATTGCAGCTTGACGGACCTTGATTGCCTTGACCATGCAAAAATGGCTGCCTCCCTTTTGTGATGGTTACTTATACTGACTGCTATTAAATATGATTTACCCAGCCAATATTACGCAATGTGTTGATCTCTAGATGCACATATTATAACAGGTGCCCTTTTTGTAGTTGATATTGAATGCTTTATGTACTGTATATTGTATAGTTTGCTTGAATTAGCCAATGTAAAGAGCAGAAGAAGTATGTACACCAGGGGCCTCAAAGTCCCGGGCCATCGGCCAATTCCAGCCCATGAGCCAGTACCATGTGGCCCACAGCTGGCTGACAAGTCTGGCATGCTGACATGAATCACAAACCTGCCTTGGAGGAGCAGCTACAGGGTCTACATCTCTGTTGGATGCAGACCGTATAGCTGCTCCTGGCGGTGCCGGCACTCAGTGTGAGTCAGGGAGCACAGTTTTCACGGAGCACCGGCCGACAGGAAGGATTAGTAAGGTCTGCACCAGCCAAAGGTGCAGACCATACAGATCAATCACTGAACCATCAGGGAATGTGCCCCCTCCCTGCAAAAAAATGGAAGCAGGTGAGAGGGCTCTTTCTTTTAGTTGAAGTGTCAGTATGTATACTGGTACCGTACATTCTACGGTACATTTTGTTTTGAAGTATGACATTTTATGAAATTTGGCAAGCGGCCTCCATGAGAGAAGAAAATGTTTTCAGTGGCCCCCAAGTGAATTGAGTATGAGACCCCTGATGTACACTATGATTTAGAGCCATTTTCTTCCTGCAGTAATGCATCATTTTCTTGTACTTTATGTTATGTGGCTGTATTGTTGAATAGTACCGTCTGCACTGGCTGAGCCACTTAATAGAGAAGCCTTTGTATGTGACATTAGTAAGTGAATGGCGAGTGCTGAGCCGAACAATCACTGGAGCCAAGTATGGAAGCGGCACACAGAGTCCTCCTGTTTTTAAAGCTCACTTTATGCGTTTTATGAAAATGACTTAATAGCCACACACGCCCAGAGACAGGTTGTTCTGAATGGCCGTCGTGTTGCTGTCTCTATCAGTGCTAAGCCTTCAATTAGAGGTTACAAGTTGATGCGAAAGGTGCTACTTATTGTGTCAATTGTAAATTTGACTTTATTTCAGCGGGTTGTGCCTTCAGGATGACCGAGGGATCCAAATTTGTGAATATTTTTCTTAATACATTTAAGACAATACTAAAATGTTTTTCTTATCAAAACCAGTTGTCAGTAATAAGTAAAAATCTCTGGGGAAATTGGTGGGATAATTTATTGGTCAATTATTTGGCCAGCATGCCATGGGAATAAAGGCTTCCACTGACAAAACCAAAGTACTGCATGGTAAATTGAAGTGCTTCAGGGTTAATTCCCAGCTGAGCTCCTAATAATTATCTTTGTGAAATGCATCTGTGTTTACTGGCTTGGCCCTATGGCCAATATGTGCATGCTAGCACATCACATGTTCTGCTCACTGGATTTTGAAGAACATGTATGAAATTATGTATGTAAGTAAGGCCTGGCTTTTTCTAACCAATTAGTAATTTGAACTCTGCAGTTTAAAAATCATGATCTGTCTTTTATAGAAGGTTCACAAATGTCTCTCCATATGCTGGCACTGTTGAGATGTATGGCTGGGCTGGATGCTCTACAAGTGCCATGATCTATTTAGAGAGTTGATCTCTTATATTATGTAGCCAATGGAAAATACATGTTTTCTTTCTCATCAGACATTAGATTTCACGTGATGTTTACTCTAAAGACAGGTGCAGGTGAAAAACAAAAAACTCAGCCCATGTTTCTGATCTGTAAATAGCAACACGCCGTGGTGTTGCTATTTGGTCTTCTGCTGACCTTGGACTCTAATAGTTGTTTATTTACTGTAACCAGACTGCATTCCATTCTCTGAACAAGACTCTGCTGAAATCATTCTTTTTGGATGTAAGGACTGGAATGCTAGGCTCTGACTTATGTCAGAATCAATCGGAATGTTTGCCTATTATCGTTGAGCAAGTAAATTATGGCGTCTGTAAGAGCAGGAATCTTATGATGGCGCTCTAGGTGGAGGAATGTAGAAGGACAAGGTGTTCTCAGACAGAATTCTGTGTAGTGCCTAAAGGAATTAGTCAAATGGGACAAACAAACCAGCTGGTATGGACAATCTGTTCTACAGAACCTGAACTAGGTGGCGTCATACAGTATTTGTGACTCCATTATTTGAACTATTTTCTGCTAAACTCTTGGAGGACTAACAAGACAGACGGAATTTTACCAAGGCTCTGCCTGACACAGGTGCCCACCTTCTCTAACACCCTGGAATTTGCACCAGACATGCTCTTTAAGGGTAGCTCCAATCAAATCAAATACATTAATGAAATGAAATACCTGTATGGATGAACTGTTTTTATTTTTTTGAGAAAGTAACCTGCCTGTTTATTGGGCTGTGAACGGACCCCATTACATCCCTGTAAGATGCCTATATACCTCCAGGTCCCAGTGCCTGAAAACAATGATTAGCAGCATTCAGCAATACAATAATACCTGGCTAGGTAACATCTCTGAGCCACCCACTCTCGGTTTGATTGCTTCATTGTAGGAAGGTAATATAAACATTGATCAGGTAGATATGCTTGTAGTACATAAAAAGAAATAATGATTTATTGATAGTTGCTCTGTGTCAGGAGTTGATGGTAAAGCCACTTATTTCACAGACTGCTCCATTCATCATGCCTCTCTTTTGTGTCTTGCAGGAAAGTATGCCACAGACACCAATATTTCCCAGCATGCTTGGCTCTGCCTGTAGTGGACAGGTGCAGCCAGAAATGGGTGAGCAGTGTGGAGACCCAGTTTACCAAGATGGCTGTTTGGTGTCTGGGTCCTTGGAAGCCTTGATTGAACGCTTGGTGCCCACAGTGGATTATTATCCTGACGTAAGTGTTTATTTGTAAACAAATTTCTTATGCATTGATTGTATAGTCATCTATCTATTATAGCGATGTGTATGTTACAAGAAATGCAGGGCTGTTACATCCAAAAAAGGTTGGAAAGAGTGGATGTGTTGCTCAAAAGATCCAATTAAATTATCTGGTTCAAGTTCAACCCTGCATTAGAACACTGGTTTGGCATCTCTATTCTGATTGGTTGCTGAGATGGGGTTCTCTGCTGTAAAAGGATGATATGCTTACATAGCGCTGATGTTTTACTAGCCAGTTGCACGTTCACAGACTTGATATTGATACATCCTCATATAATAGGGGGCTTCTTTAGTAGCGGGGCCACATTCAGTGGTTTCCCATACTTACTAAGCCGTGGTGACGAAAAACCCAATGCATTGTCAACATGATGGTGTTTAGTGGCTACAGACATCTTAAACTGCAACCTTGTGGTGCCCAGAGCTCTTTGTTGGGCACATAATTTGCTCTGAATGATGCTACAACCTCATTTGTTCTTTAGTGTTTTTTGGGTCTGAGCACTTTGTGATATATTTTTTCTGTTGAAGGGTCAGACCACACAAACTGATAGTTAAATTGTAAGTAGCTTTTCACCTATATGACATGTAGAATGCAGCAGGACCACATCAGCACTCCAGGCACTTGATATCTTTATTACTAGAGATTCCAATGGCACAGGTTGACTTTAAAGTTTGACTCCACCTTTAAAAAAAAATCCATTGCCTAGCTTGTGTATAAATAAGTTTATACAATGCTCTCCTTCCCCACAGAATCATTGCCAATAGATCCAGCTCCAGTCATCTTTCAGGTTGAATGATGCCCAGCTTCATTCAGCGAACCCAGGTCGTCTTTGGCAAAACCCCTTGGGAGCACATCACCATGCTGGCATGGGTTCAAAGAACTCGTGGACAGATTGGGGATCACATGTTAGTGCTGTGCTGTCCAGGAGTAAGGACCATGCACTGCTATTGCTGAAGGAGAAGAGGAATGGTCCAGGGAGTCACTGGACTGGTCATAAGGCTGCAGGGTTACAGGCATGTACAGTGGGGGAGAGAGGGGACTTGGAAATTATGGAGTTTGGGCTTAAGCTGCCATGGCAAGTCAAGGGGGTTGTCTCCCTAATATCTATACATCTTCCTGTTTTCTAGGATATATTTTAGCTCCCTAACAGGGAGCTCATTGTTGACAGGTCAGGAGTTCCAGCCTTACCTACTACATGCTTGTTCCACATCACTGACTCCCTAAATAATGAGGCAAGGATGAACATGACAGCCTCCGGGCTTGAACAACAAATTCGAAACGTCAGTGCTCATATTTGTATTCTGACAGCTTTCCTATAGACCAGATCCTAATGAACCCCTGTTTATTTCTCAATTTCTGCTCTACCAAACGTGTGTTCTCTGGGCCTTTCTTTAGTTATCTCATAGATGCCAAAGGTTAAAGAAGCTTTGCTCCAAAAAAACATGTACATTCTGCCCACATTCTCTAATAGGCCTGTTCCAGATTTCTCTCTTTTTTTTCTATCGCATGTGATTGATTATGTTGCTAAGAAACAGTTCTAACCACTTAAGCCTTTCCCATGTACCGCAGTGAATGAACCTCATATGGTGTTTGCTGTATGTTGTAACAGCTACAAAGGCAGACGTGTATTAGCACTAAAATGTAATTTTGAAAACTGGTCTGGGCAATGGAAATGTCACCATCTGCCAAGAGCAATGTCCAGGGCCATACAGTAACTAATCATTAAAGCTCTTTCATCGTTCTCACTGCTGTTATTTAATGAAAAGTGAAATCAGATTGGCTGCTGTGGGTATAGCACATCACAAAGACTGTAGATGGATTACTTTCTACCAAACATACACAGTGCAGTACCTAAGTATGTGGTATTGCCATAAAGGAACCGGGAGATAAATGAAATGGCATATGGGATGTGGTTGCCATTGATTTACATTTTGTTTTTTTATTTATATGGGGAAAAAAAGGCACAAATAAATGTTATGTTGGCCTGAGGGCCTGTTCACATGACATCAGGTCCTGATCAGGTCCTGATCAGCAGACGTGGAACTGCTGATGCGGTGCGTTTTTGATGCGTTTTCGTTGCGTTTCGTGCATTTCCCGACCGGACAAAATGTGACATGCAGTATTTTTTCTGTCGTAAGCTGAACGGACTGCGCACGTGAGAACTGTAGCCCATAAAACACATAAGGATACATTGGGATGCATTTTGAGTGCAGCAGCGTACGGATCCGGTAAGCACACAAAACGGACGTTGTGTGAACAGGCCCTCAAAATGAACCCGTGCACCCCCCTTCCCAGCAGCACATAGCACATACTCCACTTTACTTTGCTCCCTCAACTCTTCATGAGAAGAGAAAGATTGTGTAATCTCCATGTCACTATAGTCTGAGCTTACACATAAGCACTCCCCCACCCCTTGTGACAGAGCTGGGCCAATCACCAAACACCAGGGTAGTCACATGGAGTGAGTCATATGCTCCTCCTTAGCAAAAGTACCAGGAACTTTATTAATTCCCAGCGGCTGAAGAAAAACTGACAACTCAAAGATTTTCTTTAAAGTATCACATTGAGCAGAATTAGTAAAAAGTGTCTGAGAATTTTTTTTTCTCAGACACTTACTTACACTTACATTTACATTTTATAAGCTGTGTGGAAATTCAAGATAGAAGCTGATTAGGTGCTACTTACATCCGTACCTTATGAGATAGAACTTATTTCAGACATTTTTTTATTCATTCTCCTATGTAGCTACATTATGGCAATGCTTACCCACTGTTAAAGATGCCGTTTATGTAAAAGTGTAAAATAACATTTCTAAAGTACCTTTTCGCTTTAGTTTCCCAGGGGTCACCTGACCTCTGTGTTCTCTCCTCTCCCCATAGATCCGGGGGCTGTTGATGGATACTCTAACCGATGCTCAGCATCTTGCGCTGATGTAGCAAAACTCAAGAGGTCTCCATAGACAGGGTCCGAAGTGTTCTCATGGTCTCGACCTGGCACTTCCCTCTCCCTACTGAATAATGATGTTGTCCATCTGACCAAAGGGACCAGTTGCAGACAGGATGTACAGGAAGCGGCGGCCTAAAGACACACACACAAGATTGTACAGGACATTGCAGGGTAGGAGGGCATGACGCGGGGCGCGAAGGTAAACTGCCCATGGTGATAGAGGCATGCTGTGCGTCAGCACAGTGCCCTGTGACTCCAAGAGGGAATGATTGACCAGACCACACCAGCACAGATCTGCTTCTATGCTTGGAATGGTTGCATTACAACAGCAAAGAAGATGACTGACAGGTTCAACAAGTATTCCTAGCAAAAGGAAGACATTAAGCTTGAACAGGCTACAGTTACACACACCTACATAGAACCACAGGCACATACAGTGCATCAAGTTATATATTTAGGGGGAACATATACTTTAAGATCTAAGAAAACCAAGTAATTTACTGCTGTACATTCAACGTACTTTGCGAGCATCGAATGCTATTTTGTGACCTTCAAAGTAGCTAAGCAACACTTCTGCATTAATTAGACGTATAAATAATGTAGGAGCATCCATTCCCGGGATGGGGAGTGAAAAAAACTGTTTTCAAACTGAAAACATCAGGCAGCTCTTAGTCAGAAAGCCCATTCAAATCACTTGGGAGAGAATAGAGCCAGGGCTTGTCACGCTGACTGTGGGAAAAAGCATTTTAAAGCAAACAAACTGGAAGCAAACATGAAATGCGACGTAGAGCCAAGACAAATTCAGACAGGAGTGTAGCAGACAATGTTAGTTCACGGCAGCAGAGCTCCTGTCCCACACATTGACAGTAACTGGTCTTCAAGGGGAACGTATGGCTGTTATGGGAACACTGCCATTTGTTCTTTATTTTATGCCTTATCAGAGCTTGGAAATCTGAGAAGAGACTGACACTTCATGGCTCAGTTATAGGCTATTGAAACTGCCAACCTCAGAATTATTATTGTAATGCCTCCCTTCCAGAGCCATTCTGTTTAAAGAACTCCCTGTCTGATTAAAGGTGCATTCCAGTCAAAACTGAAAATGAAGCCTTGAGATGCAGAGTACAGTCTGTCAGTGTTTAATCCAGGCATTGGAGTAGTTTCTCAGTCCAGCCCAACCCTTTCTACTGATCTGGGAACCCCTTCTTGTGATTCAGGAGAGTAATTCACAAACACACCCACTGCAGTCTAATGTAAATAAAAATGTCAGTAATAAAGCTTGCCATTCATTAGCAGCGTGCGGGGCTGAAGGAAAAAAAACAGTGTGGATGGTGGAATCTCCGCTGTGGCTGTTGTATTCTGACAGCTGGCACCTGCAACTGTCAAAATGATTGAACAGTAACTGCAACAGTTTGGTGGCAATCACTGTTCAGCTGGCAATTTTCTTCTCAGCTCCTTCAACCAAAGACATTTGAAATACTGACTTTTATCAAACTGGTGTTGAAAGGTTTCACCCACAGTCAGTACAACTCACAACCTCCTCCAATCAGATTGAGACCTGCATTGGAAGTTTAAATCCAATTTGTGATACAGGAAGCAGAGAGACAGGGAGTTATACTTCCAAGATCTCATGAAGTACACTCCCAGTAACCCTGTGCGGTGCTTTCCGAATGCTTGCTGTAGTGGATTACAGAGAGCTCAGACTGAAGTGCATTGAAGACTGAAGTGAATTTGCAGTGTTTGCTGGATAGTATTAGTAGATGTCTGATTGCTTTCACTGCTTGCCGGAAGTTGCTCTTTAAAAGGCATTGTTCTGTTATAAAAGGATAATTGTTGAAATTCATAAATATATTTGTGCGATATGTTTACTTCCTTGCAGTAGAGCAGAATATTGTGCAAATGAGCATCTCTTCAATGTCAGACACCTCCACTTACCCTACTGCACATCTCCATGCACATGAACACAGCTGACGGATGGTGAAATAGCCCAGGCTGCTTATTGCAGCTTTCCCAGGGCAAACACAGGGCAGAGTGAACTGCACATGAACGTTTGTTAATGGAGCATATTGGTTTACACATTTTGTGTGAGACCGCTTATGTTTTAAATAATTCAAAAATGTCTACTCGAGTGTACTTTCTAAAAGCTTTATTGTGCACTGGAGCTTGAAACTCTTATTCCATGCTTAAATTAACAAGCATTCAGCAAGTATCTGGAAGATTCTAAAGTGAATGTAAGGGTAAAAGTACCACTAGGGGAGAGACTCCGAAAGAGTCAAAGGATTATTAATGGGAGAAAAACTCTGAACTAGCTGTAAGGGTATAGGTAGCACTGGAGGAGAGACTCTGTACTGGCTGTAAGGGTATAGGTAATACTGGAGGAGAGACTCTTTACTAGATGTAAGGTATAGGTAACACTGGAGGAGAGACTCTGTACTAGATGGAGAGACTCTGTACTAGATGTAAGGTATAGGTAACACTGGAGGAGAGACTCTGTACTAGATGTAAGGTATAGGTAACACTGGAGGAGAGACTCTGTACTAGATGTAAGGGTATAAGTAACACTGGAGGAGACTCTGTACTAGATGTAAGGTATAAGTAACACTGGAGGAGAGACTCTGTACTAGATGTAAGGTATAAGTAACACTGGAGGAGAGACTCTGTACTAGATGGAGAGACTCTGTACTAGATGTAAGGGTATAGGTAACACTGGCGGAGAGACTCTGTACTAGATGGAGAGATTCTGTACTAGATGTAAGGTATAGGTAACACTGGAGGAGAGACTCTGTACTAGATGGAGAGATTCTGTAATAGATGTAAGGTATAGGTAACACTGGAGGAGAGACTCTGTACTAGATGGAGAGATTCTGTACTAGATGTAAGGTATAGGTAACACTGGAGGAGAGACTCTGTACTAGATGGAGAGATTCTGTACTAGATGTAAGGTATAGGTAACACTGGAGGAGAGACTCTGTACTGGATGTAAGGTATAGGTAACACTGGAGGAGAGACTCTGTACTGGATGTAAGGTATAGGTAACACTGGAGGAGAGACTCTGTACTAGATGGAGAGACTCTGTACTAGATGTAAGGTATAGGTAACACTGGAGGAGAGACTCTGTACTAGATGGAGAGATTCTGTACTAGATGTAAGGGTATAGGTAACACTGGAGGAGAGACTCTGTACTAGATGGAGAGATTCTGTACTAGATGTAAGGGTATAGGTAACACTGGAGGAGAGACTCTGTACTAGATGGAGAGATTCTGTACTAGATGTAAGGGTATAGGTAACACTGGCGGAGAGACTCTGTATTAGATGGAGAGACTCTGTACTGGATGTAAGGTATAGGTAACACTGGAGGAGAGACTCTGTACTAGATGTAAGGGTATAAGTAACACTGGAGGAGAGACTCTGTACTAGATGTAAGGTATAGGTAACACTGGAGGAGACTCTGTACTAGATGTAAGGTATAGGTACCACTGGAGGAGAGACTCTGTACTAGATGTAAGGGTATAGGTAACACTGGAGAAGACTGTACTAGATGTAAGGGTATAGGTAACACTGGAGAAGACTGTACTAGATGTAAGGGTATAGGTAACACTGGAGAAGACTGTACTAGATGTAAGGGTATAGGTAACACTGGAGAAGACTGTACTAGATGTAAGGTATAGGTAACACTGGAGAAGACTGTACTAGATGTAAGGGTAACACTGGAGGAGAGACTTTGAAGTAGTCATAGGTGTAAGTATGTACCAGAGGAGGTGAGACTGACATGCAGACACAAAGTTGTGTTTCCTTGTATTGATTCTTCAAGCTAATATTATAGCTGCCATGTGTTTGTATTGTGTACAATATCTGAATATTATAGATATTATGGAGGGTTGTAGATCTTGTACCCAAAAATGTAGAGAGTAATGTAGAGATTAAGTCCCCGGCTGTAACTGTGTAAGGTAAACCACGGTTGTCACCATAGTGGTCTGAACTATACATCTTATCATTTCACATCTGCTTCTCCCCCTTAGAGAACGTATATCTTCACCTTCCTGCTGAGCTCACGTGTCTTCATCCACCCCTATGAGATCCTTGCGAAAGTGGGACAGATCTGCATCAAACAGAAACAACAGCTGGAAGCTGGGACGGAGGCTGACAAGGTAAAAAAGACTGATGTGCCTCACTGCAGGCATGCACCGGCCTCACAGGGGTCCCATACTGCCTGTGTATGCACCATAGAAAATAAAGGAACAGAAGCTTGCCTAGAAGATATGTTCCAAAATATTAACATAAATATATATATTGTACATTTTCTTATTGTCTATATACAGTGCTGTATATCTTATAGATCTCTTTTTTAAGTAAAAACTATTATCATGATGAAAAAGAGGCTTGCGTAAGCTAATCCTCTCAGTATTTCCAGGGAAATAAAGTAAATATAAAGGCCTAAAACTGAACTTTAGGCAAGCAGCTACACATTTGAAATACATATATGAGAACCGTGTTACCTGCCAAATGATTTGGATTTCTCTCCAGCCAGTCCTGAGATTTATACAGGTCTGCCACACAACTTATTTATTAATGACATCGGGGAGGGTGTTAACAGCGATATTTCCGTGTTTGCGGATGACACCAAAATAGGGAGGGTAATAGACACGGACTTAGACACTATAACATTACAGGAGGACCTGGATAAAATAGGGGAGTGGGCATTAATGTGGCAGATGAGGTTTAATGTCGCTAAATGCAAAGTAATGCACTTTGGAATTAAAAATAAACAAATGGGTTATACAATTATGGGTATGCCGCTGGGGAAGTCAGAAATGGAGAAGGATTTGGGGGTCATTGTAGACCACAAACTGAAAGGTAGTTTGCAGTGCCAGGCTGCTGTAAACAAAGCTAGCAGGGTCTTGTCCTGTATTAAAAAGGGGATGTATTGCAGGGACAAGTCTATAATTTTGCCACTTTATAGATCATTGGTTCGACCTCATCTGGAGTACGCGGTCCAGTTCTGGTCACCAGTACTAAGAAAAGATGTCCTTGAGTTGGAAAAAGTCCAGCGAAGGGCAACCAAACTAATTAGGGGCATGGAGGACCAGAGCTACGAGACGAGGCTACTAAATTTAAACATGTTCACATTAGAGGTGAGGAGATTAAGGGGGGATATGATTTCCATGTACAAAATGTTTAATGGTGGTAGCAACATTAGCGATAAACTGTTTAAAATTAACTCCGTTACAAAAACTAGAGGCCATCACCTAAAATTGGTGGAAAAAAAATTCCAGCACAAGGGGCGAAGGGGGTTCTTCACAGTAAGATCAGTTAGGGTCTGGAACTCACTGCCACAGGCGGTGATTTCAGCAAATAATGTGGAATTGTTCAAGAAACTTTTGGACGATTTCTTAAGGGACCGTAATATACAGGGGTACGGGTACTCCTAGAATGAGATCCTAATAGGTTGGACTTGATGGACTAATGTCTTTATTCAACCTCAAATACTATGTTACTATGTAACAGCGCAGTAAGTCCTTTTTCTCTACTGCACTTTAGCAATACAGCCTGGTCGCTTCTGATTGGACAGCGAGGGAGCAGCAACAGACTTTGAGGGCAGCTCTTTGCTTCCTCCTAGTCTCAGCATGTTTCTTGTTAACATATTTGCACCCCTGATTGGTTCCCAGTATTACTTCTCCCTCTCCTAAGTCGGAATGTACAGTGTATTCCAAAAGGCTGATATCAAGTCACTTTTAAGTGCTTATGCTAGTTACATTTAAAAATACAATGGTTTGTTATTAAATACATATGTGCATTATTTGGTATTGGAGTTCAGAGTAAATGTAAATGCTTTATATATAGTATATACAGTATGAACCTGACTTTCATGATAAGCCACAGACATGACACCCTTTAGGGGCCATGACATGTCAGCTTACATTAAATGTGATGGAGATTGTCCCTTGGCCCAATGCCTGGGGCCGCACAGTCACGTACAATAATAGAATTCCTTCTGTCTTCTCCATAGGACGTAGTGATTCAGTGTATATTGCCAATGCTGCAGTGACACTGATGCTACAGGACTGGACACTGATATATGTATATATGCTTAAGGTAGCCACATTATACTCTCAGCAATGGCTAGCCATTAAAGAGGACCTGTCGTTAAAATTCACATGAACCAAAAAGTCCATATGTAAGCATTACCAATTGGTGTGTATTATTTTAAGCAAGAAGTTCTCCTAATTTGATCACAATCCTTGACAAGTTAGGTCATAGGATCTTTTTTTTAAATGGGCAGACACTAGAGACTGCAGAGGGTCAACTGATTTCACACAGCCTGACCCTGAGTGGGGAATGTCCATTACAATAAAAGAATCAACAGGACATAACCTTGTGCAGCCCTGCTATGCATGAAGCAGAGCGTACATATGTAATCAAATATGGCTGCCCCAATTCCAAGCTATACACCTACTGGGTTTGCAGTACATAAACATGCATTCAGTGGATCATTTTTTACAGTAAATATCACAGAGTTTGACTTTAATTGTCTGTAGAATTTCCCCGTGCCCTTTTTTGTGGGCTGTTTAATATGTGGACGTCACTCTCATGCATGTGGCTTTCCTCAGACTTTCCACACGGCATAAGTGAAAGTGTGAACAGCTTTCTCATGTACCAGTATGGTATGTTTTGTGTTCAGTATGTGTGTGTGTGACGTATAGAACGGGGGGCGGCGCGGCCCACGGGGAGGGGGCTTGCATGGTATGACAAGTGACTTCCACAGGAAGCAACAGTCTAATTATATGTCTGCCTACACACCACTTCCTTCTAGCCTCCCCGTGTCACTGCAAACACCGACTGACTGGGCCGTGTTTATGTACATACAGTGTGAAGTTTTTACACGTGTGTCCCCTTCCAGCTACATTGTTGGGCTTATCCTCTTATTGACCTCAGGAAACAGATCTACTATTGGGTGCTGTCCTTCTGTGTGTCCTCCCGATGTCAGCCATTTCTGACCCACAGTTTAAGGCCCCCTTCACACCGAAGCGCGAGTGTAGCCAGGCAATGTAGCCCATTTGTACATGCAAACGCATGCCTTGTAGTACAGGAGCAGAATCATGCATTTTTGGCCATATAGACTTAGTAATAGAGACGCCTGAAGAACGCACATGTTTTTGAAGCATTTTTTTAGGTGCTTCCATTCAATGCTATGGGGACAAAAACACCCCAAAAGAAGCTCATGTACTTTTTCAACTTTCACACAACAGGTGACAAGCAACATAGCGCTCAGGCAATTGAGAATGATAAGATTCTTCATCTTGAGCGTTGTCACGCTTCAGGAATCATGCAGCAAAATGCTTAGGTATGAATGGGCCCTTTGAGATTCTGCCAGGATCCAATGAGAGCAGGTCCCAGTTATGGAGCACGCTGACCGGCCGGTAATCGTGTGACTAATGGCTTGTTGCACTCTGTTGCTTGTGGGTCTTATCAGTTTACAGGCAACAAGTAACACAAGTGGTGTAATTCTACAAATAGCAGAAGTGTCTTACTGCATTATATGTTTTTGTACAGTAAAACAACCGCAAAGAAAAAAATTCATTCAGTTGTCGAGGAGAAACATGATCTCTTACCTTTTATAATATACATGTACAGTCAAGATGAATTAAAAATATATAGTATTTATGGCATTTTACCCTGCAGACCCTTTCCTTATTTGCTTGTGTAACACACTACAGGGTCTATGTATAAAAACATTGCATAGCTTGTTCATCCAGAGAAACAGCAGGTACATTCATTCTGTGTATCTTACCCATTTGTTGTGAGAATGGGGTAAAAGTGAATAGAGAATATACCACATTATGGCCACTAGAGGGAGCTGAGGATCATAGGAAATAAATACATGTTAGCAATGAGATAATATTCACAAAGGGTGAAGAGTTTGGAGAAGGTAGGAGAAGTGAATAACCCTTAAAATGTTACAATTCAAGAGACCATTGGAGGAAATGATCATATAAATGTAACCACTGATACTATGATAGTGATCGCAATGGTTACCTCTATAGGCTCGTTCTTTCCAGAGTTCTCTTGAATGATATGCTGTTTTTCACATGTAATTATTTCCTATGATCCTCAGCTTCAGCTAATGGCCATAATGCGGTATGTTCCCTATTGAAACACATTCGCCCAGAAGAGAAATTACAATAGGAACATTCGTTTTTGCCCCATTCTCACAACAGCTGGTTTACTTGCACAGAATGAATGTACATCATGTTTCACTGGAGGAAAGAGCCATCAAATGTTTTTTTTAAGTAGACCCCATGGTAAACTGAAAAGTGCATGCTTATATTGTGACCAAGTAATACACACAAAATATAAATATCACCTATATTTGTGTTATATATATATAATGTCCCTGTGTGCAGGAGATGATTAGAGTTGTACATGGACAGCAAAAATTACTGTTCACAAAATGTTGGCAAATAGCAAATCTGGTAATAAAGGGGTTAAGCATCAGTTTAACAAAAAATGGAAAAATGAGGATTTTATGCAATGGGAAATCTTGGTTTCTATGGGCACTTGTGCTTTGCTAGTTGTCAGGACTCCTTTGCAGTGTCATACACTAACAGTGATTTTTGTGATATAAAAATAATGGAATTCAGATATCGATAGCAGAATGTTTGTCGGCAGGAAACATTGATGGTTTTTGGCTGGTTCTTAGATTTCAGGGCGGGAGCGCTGCTCACCCTGAGCCCAGGCCTGTGACATCATCCCTGTTAACTACTAAACATGTTCACATTAATGCAAAGTGACACATGACACAGACGCGAGGACTTGTGACTCATACCCTGCTTTCCTCCTACTGCTGTTGGAGCTATTTGTAGGCAGACAAAGCCACTGACCCCTGTGTAGGCATGGCCTAGCCACAGATCTGGAATATGTGACACAAAGCAGATTGCTGTATTTATTACCTGTATAGTGTGCCCATTAGGCTTCTTGTGTTTTTACAAGTACGGTATAGAAAATGTAGCAGGAAATGTAATTATTAAGGCATGTAAACTGTCACACAGTAGGTTGCCTTTTGTATCCTAGGGGCAGCAATGTTTATGCAGCAACAGTCACCGGATCATAGAAAACAATATAGTTTAGTAACCTTATAAATGAAGATGTTTTGACCTCCTGGAGAGTAGTCCTAGTTCTATCTCCTCTCTGGAAGACTATCATGAAATGCGTGTTTATATGGGCCAGTGACACCTGTATAACTGCTATATAGGTGCTATGTACATGGACCATGCATTGCTGGTTGGCTAGGTATGTGGGTGGCCCCCTCCTCCTCTCACTCACGGCCTTTTTGTCCCAGATGGTGAGCACTCCAACTTTTCTCTGAGAGTACATGTTCCGATAGATCCAGTTATCAGTGTCTGGCATACCATCTCATCCATAGAGTGAGGAGCGCAGGCTATAGCTGTATTGGGTCAGGATGCCTATTCGATCTTCATTCCTGATCAATTGAACGGGCATCCAATCCACATAGGATTACATACTGCTGATTATTCTGAACGATATAATAATGTCAACTTGTCATAACAGAAATACAGAGGCTGCCATTGCTGAGATGGACATCTGAAAATAGGAGTTTTCTGACTGCTCTGCTGACCTCTGGCTTTAATATATTCAGCGTCGCAGACCTGGAACAAGGAAAATTGGGAGTCCTTATTTACAGACTTGTTTAGGGTCAGAAACTCTCTGTATCGAAGCAAGAGATTTTGCATGACTGCCAGACAATGTGCATTTTTAGAAGAGGTCAACAGTGTCAGGCTTTATGTCAACCTCTTTAAAGAGGAACTCCAGGAATTGACGAAATAACCCTTGCAGTGTGGCTGCCCTTGTTTTGGTCTAGGGTTGGATGTATACTCACCTGATCTGCAGGTATACTCACCTGATGCTCGGTCCCTCTAGACTGCTAGACCGGTCCACGAAGCCTCTTCTCCCACAGACTCCAGCAGTCTAAGCCCCGCTGACATCATCATGTCTCTGAGGGGCATACCACAGCCGGATGGAGGGGGGGGGGGTATGCAGTCTCTGCCGCAGGATCGAGGATCAGGTGAGTATATCTTCTGTATTCCGGCCCCTAGACCAAAAGGAGCAGTTAACCCTTGCAGTGAGGGTGTAGCCCCACAGCAAGGGTTAGTTTTGTTAATAGCTGGAGTTCCTCTTTAATCACTGTGGTACTTTTTTCCCAATGATATAGAGCCCAGACAATATTACCAACATAATAGGTGTATGAGAGTTCTGACCCCTCCCTAATTTTCCTGAAGATACAATGTATTGGCATTATTTCAAGTCGTACATGATTGATCAGTAACATATCCCTAATGCCTAATTTTCTTGTCTTTTGAAATCCACAGGCCAAGCTGAAATCTTTTGCTGCTAAGATCATCCAACTTCTGAGAGAGTGGACAGAGACGTTTCCCTTCGATTTCCAAGATGAGAGGGCCAGGAAAGAGCTGAAGGAGATCGCCCAGAGAATCACACAGTGTGATGAGGTGAGAAGCACTAGCCCCCCCCCAGTCACTTCCATTCTAACATGTTCCTTTCCACTCTATAATGCAGCAGAACAGGAAGACACGCTGACACCGGCACTAGCCTAGGTCAGGCCCCAATCTTACTATTTTATCTTTATTCATGCAGACTGTTTTGTTTGTCTACATTCTTTTCCCCTAGCAAGAAGAAAAATATACAATGTATCTCTTTCTTCTTACAGAGGAGAAAAACATTGGGGAGAATTCTATAGCAAATGATCATTGTGACAGCTAATCACAGGCTATGTCAGCAATAATGTGATCAAGAGCCATTCCTCCCGCCTCCCAAATCATTAGTATGAGAGTATTAGGAGTATTAGCTTTTTGTTTACACAGTTCCATGACTCCTCAGCAGTTGCTCATCTCAGTGACTCATACCTTATCAGAGGGCTCAGTCCTGAGTTCCAGCTGTGCAGACATAGCCTGAAAGCAAGCAGCTCCCTTTTCAGCTAACCCCTACTGCTGTGGGAACCCTTTGTTGTGTATTAAAGTTTTCTTTGTAAAACAAAGTTTGTACAGATAGCAATAACAGATTGATTTCAATCCATTAAAAACACATGGCCTTGCTATACAAATAGAGTGACTCAGAATCATGGTAAGTATTCATTAGCAAGGCAAAAGAGCACTTAACTACAGCCACCATTCAGCACTCAGTTTAATCAAATCTGATACTAGGGGTTACTGCAGTGTACCTAACATTTCTACTTGAGACTACATCACCTGTGTCCTCATCTCAGACAGGCAAAGCAGACCCGAGGGGGTTAATCCGCTTTATTGTTTTTAACAGCCATAATCTAAAACATAAAGGATGGCGGCAGCAAGTTAGCCGCTGGATCGTCAGAGTAATGAAAGCACTGCTCCGCTTCAGATGCAGAAAGACAGATAATTTCACGCAATTAGTCTCCATTTCATTTATCATCCGCTCTTCCTGCCGGCACGAGCCAAGCACTAAGAAAGGGGCTTTTGTTATCTGTTTGAGAAGCTGATTCAGAGTGAATGCTGTTCCTGGACATCATCACTGTACCATCTGCCCTCAACAGTGCTCCAGCCGCGAAAACATAATGTGCACACGCTGCTAATAAACAATAAGTTCATTTGTATTCCGAAGTTCGTTGCCTCCATTCAGTAAACAATACGATTTGGGAGGATTTTATACAGCTAGCAATGACCTTGCTTCATAAGGTTCCTTCCACAGTCAGTAATCGGAAGCTGAGCTGCGGCTGGGCAGCTGTTGAGGGAGTACCATCTCCTACCCTTACAGGGCACACTGAGGTCTGTGTTTCCTGGTGAGGCATACATACACATAGCCCAGGTCTTTCACCTAAAGAAATGTGTCAATGACCATAGGAGCACAATAGGATTATGAAATTATAGCTGTGTTACTTGGTTGTTATATGCATTCTCTGTGCAATGTAGTCAATTGTTTTTGTACTTGTTTGTTTAGGAGAATGGAACAATCAAGAAGAGCATCAGTCAGATGATGCAGAATGTGCTCCTCGCCCTGTCCACGCGGGGCCAGTACCAGGAGGTCCGAGAGAAGATCCGCCAACCAGTCACTGATAAAGGGACTATTCTTAAAGCTAAACCCCAGTCTGCCCAAAAGGACATCCTGAGTGTGTGTGGAGATCCACTCATCTTAGCCCAGCAGCTTACGACAATCGAATTGGTGAGTCTGGTACTAGATAATGTTAGAAGATTTGATGGGGTTAGTAAGGTCAGTGATCCCACACTTTTTCACTGGGGTCTCACCTGCCAAACCCAACTGACTCTTGAGCTTCTCATGCTAAAATGGTTGCCCACTGTGCACTCGCTTATTAGCTTCTCTTTACACCCCTGTGCACCCACTTATTAGCTTCTCTCCACCTTCTTCACCCCTCTGTGCACCCACTTATTAGCTTCTCTCCGCCTTCTTCACCCCACTATACCATTCTCTATTAGCTTCTTTCCTCATTCTTCGCCCCACCGTGCACCCTTTATTATCTATTTTCTACATTCTTCACCCCACTGTACACACCTTTTATTAGCTTCTTTTCACATTTTTCACCCCACATTTTTAGCTTCTTTCCAGCTTCTTCATCCAGTTGAGCACCCCTTTATTAGCTTGTCTGCACCTGATTCAAACCACAGTGCACCCCTTTATTAGCTTTTTTCTACCTTCATTCCACCATGCACCCCTTTTATTAGCTTGTCTTCACCTGATTCACCCCAACGTGCACCCACTTATTAGCTCTTTTCACCTGCACCACGCTGTGCACCCCTTATTAGCTTCTTTATATCATCTCCACCCCACCATGCTCCCCTTTATCAGAACATGTAATGCCAGGACAGGTTTCCTTTTAAGGGACCCACACGCTCCTCAGCTAGAACATGGGCACACCTCACCGAACAGCTGTTTTATAGGACTAGAGAATTACATTCCTTTGATAACCCTTTTTGTGTTTTATTGTCTTGTTTTAGGAACGGTTAGGAAACATTTATCCCGAGGATCTCATGCAGATTATAACTCACATGGACTCCTTGGATAAGGATAACCACAAGGTATGGTAGTAAGTTAAGCAGTGCACTTAACATTGTGTCCAGAATAAAGCCATATTTCTATTTCATTTTCATCCAATTTTAAACTCTGTTTGATAATTAATTAGACTTGAAATGAATGGACAATATGACATACACTATACCTAGTTTTTAAAGCCCATTTGAAATGTCAAACCCTTTTATCTCTTTATAGTCCTGTACTCCCCCAAAAATGTATTCTTCTATCAGTTCAGAAACGCAGCTTCCTGCCCTCGCACAGCAGTGCTCTGTCTTGCCAGAGCTGAGTAACCGGGAAGTACTGTTATCCGGCATCTACCGTTCCCCGTGGATTCCGGATAACTGGGAATTTACTGTATTTAGACTCCCTGTACAGCGGTTGTAAGGAAAGTGGAAGTAAGACTATAAAAATGGCAGTTGCAGGTACAGATTCTGATCAGATATGCATGTTGGGGATTTCAGTTATTAAAATATGATAATCTCAAAGGCTAACCATCTTTGTGGGAAACGTTACGGGGTTCCAGTTTGGATGTAGCGCTTTTTTTTATTTCCGTCTTGAGAACACAGCCTTCATACCCATGTGCTTTTGTTACTAAATTAGATACTCGTATTTTTCACCAGTGCCGAAGTGATGTTACCAAGACCTATAACCTAGAAGCCTACGACAACTGGTTTAACTGCCTCAGCATGCTGGTAGCGACAGAAATCTGCAGGGTGAGTTGTATGCGACAGTGACCTCATACTACTTTTATTATCTCAGTAGTCATCTTAATAACAAGGGATCTGGGCCAGATTTTCTTGTTATGTCAGCGGTACTTTATTATGCTTTTATGAAGTGAGTGACAGAACAGCCACAACCCATCATACCAGATCCTTCCCAGTGAAAGTGAAATACTTTTGTAAGAGAAAAGATCCTTTCAGTTTTATTGGGAATAGGTGAATATTAAGTCAGTTGTATCTCATCTTTGCAGCAAACTAATAGATGTATTGCAGTGAGCATTCCATGAGCCATATATAAGGAATGTATTGGGCTTATGAGAAAATAGACATCCCAATGTATTTTAGGAAACACTGGATTATACAATGTTACCCAAATGATAGGTCCACTTAGTTGTAATTTGCATTATGATTGTTTTTGTTGTGTAAATGTCATTTCCACAGTCATTCTATGACTTGCCTTCTGTTTTCTTCTGTGTATGGTGTCAGTGCGAGCTGTGAAATGTAACTTCCTTTTTTCACCAATAAATGCTCAAGCCGCAGAGTGGCGCCCATTGTTAATTCTTAGAAACTGTCTTCCATTCAGCACTTCATACTTCTGGCTGCAGAGACCATCACTTCAGTTTTTGATCCGGTTAAAAATAGAAACACAGTGCAACTTTTTATTTGTCTACATTAGACATATTACATATGTCCACATCAATGTTAGTGTTATGTTTAACAAATACAAAATGCTGTCCTTCTGTGTTTGCTCAATACAGGCAATAAAAATGCAAGGCCTATTCCGATTTGTTTGTACAGTGACAAGGAAGCTTGAAAAGGATTGAAAACTTAATGACACTGCATACAATTGTTACAGTGCACCTGTCATAAGGGGATTGATTTACTAAAGGCAATAAGGCTGTTCACATTGCGAGGGAATTTGCACTTTGCAGGGGAAGTTCTTCTGACTCCGATTATCTAATCAAGTGCAAGCAAAAATGTTTTTTTTTTTTTCCCTTACACATGATTGGGTATACTTTGCAAAGTGAAATATCACCACATTCACCAAGCTAAGGAAACCTTCCGCTACAAAGTGCCAATTCCCTTGCAACGTGAACAGCCTATTAGTAAATCAACCACAAGAAGTACAGGGGCTGCCATTGCTACCTGCTTTTAAGAATGCTTGTGGACCGGTGATGCCTACCTAAAAGAGACCTGTCCCCAGACCATTAGTTTTGACAACAATCTTCTCATAAGACTGTATGTGCATTTACCATGTGTTAGGCATGTTATTTATCTGTAAATGGCTCCCTTATGTAGACATCCAAAATCCCTGTGACTGTTGCATAGTGCCTCTATTGTATTATCTATCAACAGTCCCAGCAGACAGCGCTGTCACTCAAGTGACACTCTATAGTGTTTCTCTATGCTTCTTCCCTGGTTGCTACACAAAAGGTTATGTAGGGTGCAGAGGAGCTGGGTCAGCACAAACTGTAGCCAGGCACCCAGAAGAGGCGAGAGCTATGACAGGCAAAGGAGAGAGGGGACCATGCTAGAAAATTGACTATTCTAAAGCAAGTTTAAAGGAACATTGCAGGCTAATAAAACATTGTTTATAAAAAAAAAAGTAAAACACTGCAAGTAATTAAAATTCTTGATTTATTTGTATGCGTTTCCTTGCAATTTTAGGTTGGTGACAGGCTCTCTTTAAATACTTTTGAGGCTCAGACTTGGAACAAGCATGCTGTAAATGTGTGATAGAAAATTCTCAGCATTCCATATTTCTATACTTGTTCCAGGTCAGCGACTCAGAAAGCATCAAAACCAAAGCATCAGATTGACAGCCAGGGAACTAGCATTCCTTACATGAAGGGGAATTGCAGAATGAATGAACATTAACAATATATTGAAAAGGTCGCTGTACCCGTAAAAATGTCTGTGTGCACATAGTAGAGTGTGAATGAGGCATAGAATCCTATGACTGGAGAATGACCACTGATGGTACATTGTTATTCATGATTGATGTCTTGTGTTCTGTAGGTGGTAAAGAAGAAACAAAGGACAAGGGTGATGGAATTCTTCATAGATGTAGCCCGGGAATGTTTTAACATTGGAAATTTCAACTCTATGATGGCCATCATCTGTAAGTTGTGTTTTTTAATTTATTTTTTAATGATTATATCTGCTTATCTGGTAATTATACTCCATCTTAATCAGAGGTCCCCAGGCCTTAAATATAAGTCACTTTCATCCAGTATATCACAAGCTGCTGTGAGCCATACTGAGCCTGACAACAAATGATTGCTGAAATGGGTGATGCACAAACACTGTGTGGTAAATGATGGATGTGCAATGTGCACAGATTGGGAAATGATTGACCTTGCTCAGCGAAACTCCTTCTTTGGATGCACTTACTATAAGCTTTATATATTGTACTTGTAATTAATATGAAGGATTAGAAAATGAAGTATGGCTAAGCAAGAGATTTACATTCGGCCTGGTATTAGGTGACCCGTATAGCAGAGGCAGTGTGCTTGTGGGCCATTTGACTGATTACATTTACTTCAGAGGGAAGCCCGCTGAACAAATTGAGTGGAGAGACACTTCTGTTTTGCTGATTCACTGGTTTCATGTGTTGGAGGAGCATTTGTAGGTCCTGCTGCCCCTTTGAGTCCCCTCAGAGAATGCTGGAGGGCAACACTAACCAGAACTGGAAGAATACAAATTAAACCAGCACCTAAACTAGAAGAGGAGCAGAGGCATGGATGTACATCACACTCCACCCTCACTCCAGTTCCTACACTGAAAGTCATCTAGCGGTCTTTTCCTGACAACTTCATGGTCATGTTCTTTGTAGCAGTGGCAAAGGGCTGCTTAGTCTTCTTGCTCTGTGTTCTTGCAATATGTCCTAAAAGCTGCCATTCTTAAGAGAATAATGCACAAGTTTATTGTATTGCTCTTTGCTTGAATGCTGTTACAGAATGTTGATCACATTCAGTTTCTGACTGCTAAGCTGACCATTCAGAATCCGATTTTCTTATGCCTCATGTCTTTGGTTATAGCTGGGATGAACCTCAGCCCTGTTGCACGGCTTAAGAAGACATGGTCGAAAGTCAAAACAGCCAAGTTTGATGTACTAGAGGTAGGACGAGATTGTATTATATGAATACATATGAATTTGTGTGTTTTCCTTGTGTAGTTTTATAAATGTAAACTGTACTTGACTACTTTACCACACAAAAACCTTCAATGGAGAGGACAGTCACATTGTAGTGTCTTCAGTGCTAAGGTGATAAACTGCTTAATGTGACATGACCGAATGACTGCGTACTGTTTATTGAGTACTGTGACATGACCCAGTGACTGCATATACTGCCTTCTCTGACATGACCCAGTGACTGCATATACTGCCTTCTCTGACATGACCCAGTGACTGCATATACTGCCTTCTCTGACATGACTCAGTGACTGCATATACTGCCTTCTTTGACATGACCCAGTGACTGCATATATTGCCTACTGTGACATGACCCAGTGACTGCATATACTGCCTGCTGTGACATGACCCAGTGACTGCATATACTGCCTTCTCTGACATGACCCAGTGACTGCATATACTGCCTACTGTGACATGACCCAGTGACTGCATATACTGCCTGCTGTGACATGACCCAGTGACTGCATATACTGCCTTCTCTGACATGACCCAGTGACTGCATATACTGCCTACTGTGACATGACCCAGTAACTGCATATACTGCCTACTGTGACATGACCCAGTGACTGCATATACTGCCTACTCTGACATGACCCAGTGACTGCATATACTATGTACTGTGACATGACCCAGTGACTGCATATACTATGTACTGTGACATGACGCAGTGACTGCATATACTACCTACTGTGACATGACCCAGTGATTGCACATCCTGCCTACTGTGACATGACCCAGTGACTGCATATACTATGTACTGTGACATGACCCAGTGAGTGTATATACGACATACTGTGACATGACCCAGTGAGTGTATATACTGCCTACTGTGACATGACCCAGTGACTGCATATACTATGCACTGTGACATGACCCAGTGACTGCATATACTATGTACTGTGACATGACCCAGTGACTGCATATACTATGCACTGTGACATGACCCAGTGACTGCATATACTATGCACTGTGACATGACCCAGTGACTGCATATACTGCCTACTGTGACATGACCCAGTGACTGTATGCATTGTTGTGTATTCACTTTGTGTTCCACTAAAAATTCTAATAGGTACACAGTGAAGAAGTCCTTGAAAAAACTGCAAGTCCAGTTTTCTGTCTGTTTTGGCGCATTACCATCCCATTCCAATGAATGGGCTACCTTGATGCAAAACATGTTAATGCACAATATAATGCACATGCATTAATACACTGCAGCAGACTAGAAAGATCTGAATAGGCCCTTATTACTTGCTAGAACACTGTGACCTCTCACCTATTTCATCTACAGTTATAACCTATAATTATATGTTATTGGTGGGAAAAACTGAGCTATAGCACCTTCTAGTGGCCACAAAGAAAATGACAGCCGAGACGTTTTTATTATTCTGATTGTACAGCTCACTCTTATTAAGTATATTAAGTAGTCATACTACTGCAATTACTATTTTATCTGAATACTACAAACGTTATGTATCAACATTGCTTTTATGACTGCAGCTGTGTGTGACATGAAGCGTACTAGCTTTGACTTTGCAGTATAATGCACATCTGATCCATAGTAAACCTTTGCTGCTTTATGTATTACTGTATACTGGGACTCGTATAGTCTTCTGCCTCATAAATTGTTAATTGCGTAGTGGGTGCAATATGTCTCTTCAGTTTGCTATTTGTTAATTCATACAGTTTGCTGAGGCTCTGTGATAATATTTATATACTTATGCATGTTATGGGATTATAGTGCTATTAAGCTGTTATGTTTTTCTCCAATTGGTAGCATCACATGGATCCATCCAGTAATTTCTGCAATTACCGCACAGCACTCCAGGGGGCGACACAAAGGTCTCACAGTGCTAACAGCAGCCGGGAGAAAATTGTTATCCCAGTTTTCAACCTGTTCATCAAAGATATCTTCTTCCTGCACAAAATCCATTCCAATCGTTTACCTAATGGACACATCAATTTTAAGGTAAAGTAAATGCATTTGTACACACACACACACACACACACACACACACACACACACACACACTTGCATAACATCCCATGTTTGCAGCAAGCGGTTTTTGCCTGAAATGGGCCAAATAAAGTTTCAGCAACAGGTTTGGTATGTTGAGGCAGTATAGCAGCTTTTATGTTCTATGTACACAGTGCGTAAAGATCAGTAAACTTGTGCAGCATTACGGTCCATAAGATCAAAATAAAAAGATCTACATCTGAGTTCCTGTGTATGATTGTATCATACTCTGTACGTATGTAAATGTTTGTGCTGTTTACATGCATACAATGCAAATGCACTCTATTGGAGCGGCCTTTGTTCTTGCAATAAAGGACACTAGGCAGCAGGGCATCCTCCAATGCCAGGATACAGGCAATTCAAGCTACCTAGAGTACATTGCTGCTAGGACACAGGCAGCTCAAGTTGCCTGGAGCCCTTTGCTCCTAGAATGCAGGCATCTCGAGCTGCCTGGAGTTCTTTGTTGCTAGAATGCAGGCAGCTCTTTGCTGCCTAACATCCATCATTGCTAAGATGCAGGCTGCTCGAGTTGCAGAGCATCTACTGTTGCTAGGATGCCGGCTGCTCTAGCTGCATAGCATCCATTGTTGTAAGTATGCAGACAGCTTGAGGTGCCTAGAGCCCACAGTTGCCAGGTTGCAGGCAGCTTGAGCTTTCTAACGTCCATCGTTGCTGGGATGCAGGCTGCTCTAGCTGCATAGCATCCATTGTTGCAAGTATGCAGACAGCTTGAGGTGCCTAGAGCCCACTGTTGCCAGGTTGCAGGCAGCTTGTGCAGCCTTATGTCCTTTGTTGCTATGATGCAGGTTTAAGCTACCTAGCATCCTAGCAGCTATTATAGCACCTTTTGTACTTTACTCTGTATGTGTGTGTAGATTTGCACAAACATTACAAGGGTACAGAGTATAGAGCACATGTTATGCTGGAAAAGTATTGTCATATGGCCTTTTGCATGAGCCCTAACAGATGTAGTGCTGATCTCATTGTTCCTGCGTGGTTTTACTTAACTGGGCTTTCATATTCTACACTGGGGGGTGGAATTTATCAAAACTCTGGAGCACTTGCCATGGCAACCAATCAGCTTCTCTCTTCTTTGCTCAGTCAAGCTTTGAAAATGAAAGGTGGATGCTGATTTCCACGGTACCTGCTCCATATTCTGTCTGCCCCAATTGTGATAAATTCCCCTCATGTGTACTGATCCCTATTCCACCATAGAATGCTGATTGACATCGCAGGCCATGTAGCGTATGCAAGAGTGCAATTTATTCTCTGGATCACAACAAAGCGGAGGGGAGACCACAACCAATACGCCTGGCTGTCAGCAACATTGACATTATAGGTTTAACGTTGTCATGTTTCAGAAGAAGAATGATGTGATTTCTGTTTTTTACTTCCTAGTAATTAGTAGAGATCTTTATGTATCAAATGAACATGTGTCGTCCTTCAGCCTTATTGTTAATGACTGCACATTCCACAAGTGTTTTGTTCAGCCATGTTTTCCCAGTGACATATAAATACCGGCTTTCTCTTACAGAAATTCATGGAGATCTCCAGGCAGATTCACGACTTCCTCACCTGGAAACAGGTGGAATGTCCATTTGAAAAAGACAAGAAAATTCAGACATACCTTCTCACTTCACCAATTTATACAGAAGAAGGTGAGCGCATGTCCAGTCACTATCACGCTGAGGTGGTGTTATGCGATTGTGCAAACCAGTCTTATCAAAGATTAGCTAAACAACCAGATCCACTTCCACTGGCATGTTCCTTTGCAAGCTGTTAGCATGTGTGCAGGCAGTGCATCCCTTTTCCTTCCCATGTACCCAAAACCCAGTATACACAGTCATGCGTTTATTGTGTGTGCATTCTTACAAAGCCTATTGGTAGCCTATGCCCTTGGTGGCCCAGTAATAGATGATTTATAAGCTGAACACAAGAAAATCAATAGAATCCTCCATGCACTCTAAACAACATGAATAGATGAATCGGCACTGCCAGCTATTGCATTTAGACAGCCACAGCATCCATGGCTGTCAGATTTTCTGAACAGTGACCGCATCTAATAGGAAACCATCTCTATTTGGCCAGTAATTTTCACACCGCTCAGTTAAGATTTTAATTGACTTTTTGTCTACCCACAGCTCACGTTTTGGCGTATTCATCAGTAATCAGACAACATTCGAGCCATGCATAACTAGACTTGGTGCCCCAGTGTAAAATATTATTGCCCTGAGAAGGTTACATGGATCCTGGGAGCTCTAAACATTTACGTTAAGCCTTTCTGACCCATCATAATAGTGGGCCCTTTTGAATACATTCCCAGTCCAATGTATTAATATTCCCTGAGGGAACAGTGTAAACTGTGCACTGCCTAGCTCCTCATGGCCCAAAGTACACACTATCCTAATCGTACAGTACATAGCATAATGCATTTATCATTTCAGAACTGTACTACTTCCTGGCACTTAAAGCAGAAAAGACACATTACCCCCAATAAATCAGGACTATTTTCAACAGCATTATAATTCAAAATGGTAAACAATAAACTATACATGAGAAATGTCAATATCTTCTGTGCTTCCCTGTATGTGAAATGCCATGACATGAATAGTATTACAATGAGAAGCATGTGACCTAACAGGAATTGCATTGGAAATTTTTACCTGAACAAAGATAATTGTATCTATTCAAACACTTGCCCACTCAGTGTCATACTGGGTATAATATAAAGCCATTCCACACTAGTTGGGTCCCATTCACTATCCAAACCTCTACAATCAGTGTTTGGGATGCTTGATATTCAATGTACTGTCATGGAAGGATGACTTTTTCTTTCCCTCTCCTACGCACAGACTTTTCTTTAGGGTAAAAGGTAAAGATTTGAAGAGATAAATGAATGTCAGTGAATGAGAGCTTGGTGAATACAATGTGTATACAATGCACACATCATTTGTAACAATTACCTTTTATTTTTGTAGCTCTCTTTGTGGCTTCTTTTGAAAATGAGGGTCCAGATAATCATATGGAGAAGGACAGCTGGAAGACTCTCAGGTACACATTGACCACTGTTATAAGAGTTCTAGAAGCTGATAGAAGATTGGTATAATATTGCTCAGGGCTGAATGGAAGAGATGTACTGATCTTATTGCAGGAGACAGAAATGTTTTGGGGCGAGCATGCACAGAAATAAAGTGTTTCTATCAGTGTTTTGCAATGTAAGTGGAAGATCACCCTGGAATTACTCACTGAACATTACACAGCCATGTAACACATGTACACTGATAAATGTATAGCACCATGGTTGACTTCTGAGGTGCCTAGAGGTGCCTAGAGCCCACTGTAGGCAGCTTGTGCAGCCTTATGTCCTTTGTTGCTATGATGCAGGTTTAAGCTACCTAGCATGTTTTGGGGCGAGCATGCACAGAAATAAAGTGTTTCTATCAGTGTTTTGCAATGTAAGTGGAAGATCACCCTGGAATTACTCACTGAACATTACACAGCCATGTAACACATGTACACTGATAAATGTATAGCACCATGGTTGACTTCTGTCCACGTTCTGGTTGTCTAGGAATCAGCATTGGACACTGACGGCTATTACCAGCGACACCATACAACTAATGATGGCGCTCAGCCCCCTTCGTGCTATCTACAGCTTGCGATTGCGAAGCCTGACTGAGAAGCTCTTCTTCTGTGCCCTGATGCTGTCAAAGATGTAAATAGCATGAGGAGGGCTGAGCGACACCATAAGTTGTTTAGTGTCTTTGGTAACAGCTAGCAATTTCCAATGCTGATTACTGGACAACCAAAGCGCAGACAGAAGTCAAACATGAAGCTATGTATTTGGCAAGGTACGTGTGTTATATGGCGGCATAATGTCCACCGAGTAATCTTAGGGTGAACTTCCATTTCAATGCTTAGCTCTGTTAGCTGTATCAGGTGCATGTAAATGTGCTGTAGTTTGGGTATCCATATGTCTATTGAGCATTCACCTCAAGTCTGGGTTTACACTGTTGAGGTTCCCTAACACATGTGATGTTACGTGTCAAGGTATGATACATAAAGGTAGCCCGTTCATTTAAATTGGTTGCCTAATGCACAAAAAAGTATGTTTTTTTTGTAACGCATATTAGTGTGTTGGCAAGGTGCATTGGGGTGCCATCAGGAATAAACAGCACTGCTGTACATAACACATACCACAGAACGACAGTGTGTACACAGCCTGAAAAACAGCTGTAAAAGGAATGAAACTGCTAGAAGACCAGCCAATGGCCCCTGGGTTACTATACTCTTGCCAGAAGTAGTTATCATATAGTAAATGGGCTGCTCCAGTGTCATAGATGCTTTGCCAATTTGACAGGAATGGGCAGTGCCTATAGCAATTACGTCAACTAATGCGACTGGCCATAGAAGCGAGATATTCATTTGCAAATGATTTAGTGGGCTATCATAGCTACAACCCTTCTCCCCTAGGGGATATAGGCCTAGTAAACAAAAGGGTAGTGTTCTCTGGAGATCCGAATCCACTCAGTATATCCCTTTATATTGAGTTATAAGTCAAGGTTATCTACATGGTCTTGTAACCAAAGCAATAAATGTAAAAAGAGATCTCAGAGATATAGAATCCCTGATGAAGGTGGTTACATGAAACACCGGGACCAGCGTGTGTATATAAATAAATGTTTATTGCTACAAAGTAATTGAAAACACCATCAAAAAGCTTCTGCCCATTAAAATGACAACAATGTTTGATGGTGTGTTCAATTACTTTGTAGCAATAAACATTTATTTATATACACATATAGGTCCCGATTGGGGTGCTGGTCTTCTATACACAACATAGGTCCCGATATAGGCCTAGTATTTGGCTTCAAAGGGCCAGCCGTTAGAAGTAGTTGTAAACCCCAACTACATGGCATTTAGTTTGCTAAAGCAATTGTGTATCATGAACAACTGCCATTTGTTAGACCAAGTACATGTTTTGAGCTTTTTTTTGCATCACAGTGCTGCTGATCTCCTGCAGCCACTTCTGTCTACATATACGTACTCCAGCAATGGCTGTAAGACATTTAGAAGGGTCGGCGGAAGGAGATACCAGTGGCCCAGGACTGTGCAATTTGTGTTTAAATGGCCACTTGTCTCCATTGAAAGCTTGTGTGACAACGAGGACCAAAATAAGGAGACAGGGACACCCCATAACAGAAAGTGCCTGAACAAGGCGTCTTAGGGGGGGAGGGGGATCAGCAGATCTTTTATTAAAGGCTGGAGATTTAAGAAAATATAAATGATTTTAGAAATATTACCAGCTTGTAGGAGATTTTAGTGATTAGCATCACATCTGCTTTACCCGAGTACAATAGGGGCTGACTGCAACATGCATTACCAGTACACAATATCACCAGTAATGGACATTTTGGGATGGAGAGGGCCAGGCATTATTGCAGTCACTGAACCCCTCATAGACACAAGAGACCACAGTGAGTGATTCCACTCTCCAGGACCCATTTGTTTATTTTGGGTGGACTGACTTGTTAAATAAAGCCAAATGTATGTGCACTTGCCCAGCGGTTTGGGGTGTTAATATATAACGTGTATTTCTTCCTAGGTCAACACTTTTAAACCGAGCCTGAGAAGATCCACAAGATGTCTGAAGCACACACCTACTTTTTTTTTGTTTTGTTCCTGTTGTATTGTGCCAGAATGTTTGAGTCAGGAAGACAATCCTCGCTGGTTGGGGGTCTGCTGATTTTTGTATATAAACTTTTACAAGTCTAAAAAAAATGACCAGTCTATAAATATAATGATATATATATATTTCATGCTGTAAGCACTTAAAAAGAGAAATCTAAAAAAGGGATTCATGTTTTCTTATTATTGTTTATTACAAAAAGGAACCCTTTGCTGCTGGAATGGCCAAAAAAGTGAATGTCTGTCTAAAGTACAGAGTAATAAATGCACTGTATGAGCCTTT